AAGTCCGCATCTTGTACAGCAATTAACCACTAAGAAGAATATATGCAGTGTATTATTTGTTGAAAAATAAAAAAAAAGAAAAAAGAAAAAAGAAAAAAAGACAGAAAAAAAGACAGAAAAAAAAAAAATAAAAAATAAAATAAAATCTCTGTGCCCTATACAGAAGTGGGACGCATAGGTAGAGCCATTTGGACTAGCTATTTTACCTTGCTCATGAACTTGCAATTATAGATAAGAACACCATAAAATAGACTTGATTTTTAAAATTCTGTTAGGTTCTTTTAAAGTTTAGAAAATAAGGGGCTAAACTCACATGCATTTAATCTCATTTATCTCTATAACTGCTGAACAAGTTGAACTGCTCAGAGTTTAGCAACAAGCTAAAGCTAGTTCATCATAGTGCATGTATCTGACAGACGGTACCCTGTCTGACCTGCTTTCTATCAAGAATGGATTAAAGCCCTTACATAATACGACTAGCACTCTGCAGTCCGTCCTCCATAGCAGAGCACATACCTGGCTGCAGCAAGGATCACAAATAAGAGAAAATAGTATTGTGGTAGGCAACTAGGAGAACTTTCTTCAAGTGAAACTGGCTTCACATATTATCCTAAGTTATGGAGACAGTCTGTATAATACTTAATGATTGATAAGTGGGGTCCTGATTTAAGCATTTTACTCATTTATTTGACAAATGTCTATTAAATGTCTATCATGTACCAGGAGAGCTGGGCCCTAGAGATATATCAGCAGTCAAGGTAGATGTGTACTTGGCATCAATAGAACAAACCTTCATTTAAGTCCAAACACCATACAATATTTTGCAGGGATTTATGTTTTATGAATGCACATGAGGAATTTGAGGCATTGCATGAAGATACATACAGTATAACGAAGTAGAAACATCTTAATGGAAAAAATTCAGTGTACAGTCTAAAGACTAAGACCTTTAGGAAAACTGAAGTATAGACCTGAGAAGTGTAACCTAGTTATGAAGACAGTCCTTAAGCTTGACCTCCTATTCCTATTAATTCAAGCAAACACAATTATTTTCATGTTTTGCATTGTCCAAAAATAGACTGCAGTTGCCTATAGGAAAGTAAGTTTGGCAAAATAGTAGGGAACAAGCGCACACATTTGATGATAGAGTTTGCAGAAGGCAGAGACCACCTGAGACCTGAGACTGAGGAAGTCATGTTGGTCCAGCTGAAAACGGTCACAAAATTTTATATTTAGAGATGCAAACAATGACAAAAGAAGAGAGATACATCAAGATATCTAGCCTGTCCCTAGTGGTTTAACTCTTCATTCAGTGTGGTTTTGGATTCCAGGTGCAACTAAAAAATTAGACAAATGATGTCAATTTTTCTCTAATTGTAAGCATGGGCCGCACCTGCAGTCATTTCGCGCTCCGAACAAGGCTGAGTACCCTACCCTTTGCCTAACTTGTGTACAGACAGCAAGGGTGACTGCCAAGGAGTCCTGCTCTTCTCAGCCTGGCAAGGCTCCCCAAATGAGGGGTAGGTAAGATAGAAAACTACATTTTAAAGAACCATTCAACATCACAGTGTGGCATAAACTGTCACTGGAGCCTCAGGGTAACTATGACAGATGCAAAAGTCTAGTGGTGACATTTTTTGGGTCACTTTGGAGGGATGAATGAAACTCAAGTTGAAGAATGCACAATAAGAATCTTATCTCTGCTTGTGGCTGTCTTGCTCCAACTGAGCAGCAGAGGAAAAGGACTTCTTTGCCTTTCCAAAGGAGCTTAGGGAGCCTCCTGTCACTGTGTCACAGATGAACACAGAGTGAGAGATGCCATCCTGCACAGCAGGGCTATGTAGGGCTTGGCCTTCAGCTGTGGGCAGGAAGACGACACTGCAAATCCAAGCAGGTCAGCTGTGAGCACCTTTGCAGCTTTGACCAAGGAACACTGGGACTCAGCTCTTCCAGTTTTCAGCATCTCTGGCATCGCATCCAAGGAGAGCTCTTTGTGGCCTCAGGGTCTTCATCTGCAAAATGGGTGACTTTTCCAGGATTTTGATAGAAGAGTTTTCCTTTACCCAGCAGAGCCCCCATGTTTGCTCTTTTCCATGAATAACAAATTTTCTCCGTTAGTTTCTTGTTTTATAATTCAAGTCATTTCTTCTTTTCCTCTCTACACCTCTAACCCGCACAGGTACGCTCTTTGCTTGTATTGCACTCCTAGAAATCCTTGGTGGAGTCACTGCCACTTCTGCTTTTAATGGAATTTATTCGGCCACTGTTGCTTGGTACCCCGGCTTCGTGTTTTTGCTGTCTGCTGGCATATTACTCATTCCAGTGATCAACCTATGGTATGTAATTATTTTAAATATTTTTTTCAAAAGGTGACCAGGTTAATTTAATTCCCCAACCTCACTAGTAAAACTACATAGATCTGTTGGAATTTTGCCTCAGATTTCTTTTCTCAAGAATTTTTCAACGTCAAAACATTTGTCAGTAATTCTGGAATTGTAGAAAGAGATGGTGGTATAGCTAACCAAACTAAGAGAAAGAAAGATTGGGTTAGAGACCCTAAGAAGTTTTCCTCTGTTTTTTGTGGTACAGGTTTTTTTCTCTGTTTTGTTGTATGGGGGACTGAACTAAACACACCTTGCCATTTTTTATTTTCAGACAGTCTAAGTTGCCAGGTTGGGTTCAGTCTGGCAGTCCTCCTGCCTCAGCCTCCCAGAGTAGTAAGATTATAGGCATTTGTCACCATGTGTCTTTAAGTATAAAAACTGATTAATTTTTTTATCTTAGAGATATATTCAAATTATGATCTCCCTGAGTATCACATCTCCTAATGTCCAAAGGTTGCTCTAGTAAGATTTACTTTATTCTAACTTTTAATTTTTATTTTTTGTGGTACTGGGGATTGAACTCAAGACCCTGCGCTTGCCAGGCAAGCACTTATTCTACTGAGCTATCTTCCCGGGCCCTGAGATTTATTTACTTTAATATGTTTCGTGGATAAATGACAAAAGCAGATAGAATGCACCCAGTAATTATATTAGTGGGGTTGAAGTGGTGAGGTTGGAGCTCCTTAACTTGTTTCTGTTGAACTTTGTCCCATTCACATAGCTGGTAGTGTGGTAGGTGGGAGGAGGGAAGGAAAAGCTTCCTAAGGAGCTGGACCTTCTGCACTCCTTAGCATTTGAGATAAGGTTGTGTGGAAGGAGGAAAAAGTACCCACAAGAACTGACACTCAGCATTCTGCCAAGACCACGGACTCAGAGTCTGGCCCAGATCTTATTCACAGTGGGCCCTCAAGAGATACTGCCCCGATTAAATTCTCATGCAGTACCTAGCTCTGTTTCAGACAAGGTACAGTGCTCAACACTATTTTCAGTTCTCCAATATTGACAAAAAGGGCTTTTTTTTGGCAGTACTGGGGATTGAACTTGGGATCTTATGCTTGCTAGGTGGGGTACTTATGCTGCTGAGCTATGTCCCTGGCCCTGAAAAGTGATTTTTACTAGTTGTTTTTTTTTTTTTAGACTGGGTTTCGCTATGCAGTGCAAGCTAGCCTTGTACCCACTAGGTAGATGAGACTGGCCTCCAACTCGCAGTGATCCCCCACCTCATCCTCCTAAGTGCTGGGATTACAGGCATGTACTACCACACCTGGCACTAGGTGTCTTTTTAAGAAGTGACCACTCACCTACTGAATTAGCAAAATTATAATCCCACGCCGTGCTTATTATCACATGTTGAACAGTCTGTCTCTTAAGTTGTTAGTAGTAACATTATTCAGTTCTATTATAAAGCAAGTGACAAGCATGTGCTAGAAGCTTTCTTTTAAAAACTACACATTGATGGAAACAGTGACTCAGGAATATTATAAAAATATTGAAATAAAAAGCTTATTCCAACAAAAAATAAGTGATCAAAATGTCCAAGAGTAAGGGAATGTTTAAATCAGTGATACCCGGGCTGGCCAGATAGACTAAAGTGCCTGCTTAGGCAGAGCACAGTGGCTGAGAGTGTGATGCTGGTCCTGCCCCCAGGGTGCGCTGAGATGGTGACTGAGACTGGGTGTGGTGGCGTGGACCTGTAATCCCAGCGCTTGGAAGGCTGAAAACAGGAGAATCACTACAAGTCCCATCTACATGGTGAGACCATGTACTAAATAAATAAATCAGTGATACAGCCCTATCATGATATGTGACTTGATTAGAAATGCTTACATAAATGGGTAGTTTTTTTTTCATATACATGTTAAGCATATTTGAACAAAAGGTAGTTATCTTTTTAATAAATATAGATGGGCATCTGAGTTTTTAGCTCTTTTCTTCAACATTTTTAAAATCAAAATCTGGTATTTTATCTCCAAATATCCTTGCTTCCTAGTTTCAGTTCCACCTATTGAACAAGAACTTCAGTAATAGCTCTAGTTGTAAGCATTCTATGAGGACTCCACAGAGTAAAAAGTGGGGTATATGGATATCTGAAGGGTCTAGAAGAGAAAAACCTCACGGAGATGTTTTATGATTTTGAGAATGTTCATAACAAGTCAGTTGAAATCAAAGTACCAGGATGGTCCCATTATATGTAATTTGAATAATTTATTAAAAGCCACCTAACCATGGACAAGATAGGGTATGGATGACTCATCTATGCACTGTCTTCATCTCCAATTCACAATGTCTTGTTTTGATTTGACAGTGCCGTCAAGTGCATCAACGGCAGTGAGGGCAGCTATGTGGTTCTTACAGAGGAAGAGCCCACAGAAGACACTTCAGACCGATGACTGGGAACATGAATGGGACATACAGTAGCTCCTGAGGACTCAGATCAGCTGTGGAATCAGTGCTTTATTAATCATCCATGTTATATATCCTTTTCCCTAAACAAATCTGAATCAGAGCCTGGCTTTCACTTCCTCCAGGACTTGGGCACTGTGAGGACTTTGTGCTTATGTTGTGATATGTTTACAGTATACCAAATAACAAATCTCAGAAAACTTCTCAGTTTGGGCTTAAAAGATGAAACTGAAACTGAAAAGAGGAAATAAGAAACTTTAATAAAGTCAACAGCAATAATCTCACTGACTACTCCAGTCTCTCTACAGTGAAACTGGGGAGAACTTTTTTACTTCACCTACAAAATGGAATTCTGTCAGGGAACTTCAAAGTATAATGAAAAATTATGAAAATGACTGATCTTAAAGTAATGACTTAAGTTTCAAATATTTACACTATGATTTCTCCTATCCTTTAGTAATTGTTTTAAATTTTGTCTTTGGTACTGGGGATCAAACTCGGGACCTTGCACTTCCTAGACAGGTGCTTATGCTGCTGAGCTATCTCCCTGGCCTATAATTTGTTTTATTAAGCCAATCATGGCACTGATGATAATCAAGTCTTTTAATAGACACATAATCCTTAAGAGAAGCATGTTAAGGACTGTACATTTATTACTTTTCCTAATTTATTTCATCAGTGACAAGCATTTTTTATATGTAACACAGGTGATTGAGGACTGTCTTACAGAATTTTAAAATTCAGCAAACAGCTAATTGTGATGAAGAGAAATACTACAGAGCAATGGTGGCAAACGTACAGCACCACACCAGCCACACAGAACCCTCTGTCGGCACGAGCCAAGTTGCTGTAGCAGCCAGGCATCACCTAACAGCTGTTCCATCTAAACTACAACCTCGGTATTTAGGTGTAATTATACTTTGAAGTAAATAAATGGACTTGAGGTTGCCATTTGGGGACTCGGTCTCTAAAAGCTTCACAGTCATTACTGTAGAGCCAATATTCATTCCTTACATTCAGTAAAGCTTGGCTAGGAATTCCATTAAGCTTGACTAGGAATATTACCTCTAATCTTACTTATGACCTCTTGGTCAGCGTCAGGGCATTTCTAAAATATAGATCTTGTACTGTACAAGTTAACACTCCTTCAGTATCTGTCATCTATAGGGAAATGATCGAACAAGTTTTCACGAACTGTCCCCACTGTATCTTATTAAGTAGTGCTTTATAGTCATCCTGGGATCCACCCTCTCTTAGAAAACACATGCTCTTGTACCTCCATGTCTTCTTACATAGCTCCATTTACCTTCCTCCCACCCAAAACCAGAACCCTCAGCCAAAACATTGCTTCTCTGTGTAGATGACTGTATTTGTCACTTTCCTGTTGCTGTAGGAGTTTTTGACTCATAGTTTCAGAGGAATCAATCCATGGTCAGCTTGTACACAACAGAAACAGCATGGTGGAAGGGCTGAAGAGAGGACAGCTCATCCCATGGCATCCAGGTAGCAGTAAGAAGCAGAGGATGAGGATAAACCCTTCTAGGTCAGGCCTTCACCTCCTAACAGTACATATTAAATCAAGTACTAAACTTGATGATTGAATCCACTGATGAGTATAATGTCCCTAATGACTGACTGCATCACCTTCCAAACATGAGAGTAATGGAGGCATTTTAGACCTAAACTACAATACTGGTATTCTTAATATTTGTCACTCACCCTACACCCCCTCCAAGGCCCTTGTAGCTCTGTGTGTGTGTGTGTGTATGTGTGTGTGTGTGTGTGTATTAGTCAGTGCTTACTAGAGTCAGATGTAGAAGAGTACAGATGTCTGTCTGTGTGCTGGAGACCTGAAGAATTCAGTCAAGGGCTTGGAGCCCATGGCAATGTCCCATCTAGTCTGCATCAAGGATTTGTACCCATCAGCCCCATGGGCCAGTGGTGGAAGCTGGAAAGCCTGTGCTGGCAGTGTGAAGGATCTGTGCCAGAAGGCCAAGAGATCTGAGCTCAAAGCCAAGAGACAATGTCCAAGAAAAAGACAAGGATTGATGTTCTCCTGAAGGAAGACAGCAGTGAAAACTCCTTTGAAGAAAAACCACAGAAAAGAAGCTTCTTCAGGAAAATTGGCAGCATGCAATCTTGGTCTCCTGTTCTTTTATGCAATTCTGGCAACAATCCTTAGGTGGGTCTTCCACGTCCAGAACCATGCTAACTCAGTTCTGCTGGGCGTTCCTACTCAAACTGACCAATGATTAATCCACCAGTGTATGTGTTTGTGCACACATGTGTGGGTGCCTAAGTATGCATAGTAACTATGTTTTGGTTATAGTTATTATTTTTTATTATTTGCTGTATGATTAATAGTGTTCATGGCATGACTACAAAACGTTTTGTGAAAATTATTTAATGTTATGTATTAAGTGACTTATGAGGTGATCACAGATATCATGCCGTAAGCCAGCCTCCTGAACAAATTGAAAAATATGCTTATGCCTGTATATTTTAAAATCAATTTATAGTATTTTCATAGGTCCTCCAATATCAATTTTCTGATTCACCATATGTAATAACACAGATGCCTTAAAGTGCTGCTAAATGGTTAACTTCTTTGTAATTTGAAAGCAGACACATTCTTCCATTTTGTAGTACTGCTTTGGGATGTTTTTTCCCTGTAAGGTAACCAATCATTTCTTGACTAGCAAATAAAACTTGTAATTTAATACACTAGGAATTCTAATTTCCAAGACCATAGTTTTTAAGTTTGGTTAATGTCTTCTAGGTGAAGGGTTGACATAATAACTGTTTCTCAGATGGACTGATGGATTTTTGAGTTCGATTCCTGTTTGATACTCTTCCAGAACCAAAAGAAAAATTTTTAGGATTTACAGGTGTTGAACTCTACTAAGAGATCATTATTACTAAATCTGATGCTAGAGACTTAGTTGATGAGATGGGGGGATGTACTCAAGACAAAACAAACAAAAGCTCTAATCTCCACTATGCAACCTATAAGAAAAAGGAAAATAAAAGGACTGGTCTTTATGGAGTCCAGATATAAGACAACCAAAAAAGTAAAACCATGTTTCTTCTTATCCAGCAGTGTAAAATAAGAGTTAAATACATCATACCTACTAGACACAGTATTTCCATCATTAGAGAATATTTCTTCTATTTCTACAAGGATCATCCACAGCCTGCACTGCACAGCCTTAAAATCATCGAAATCCTTTCTTTTCTCTCTGCCCTTACACAGTAGTCTCATCCTACCTTCAGTGTTGCTTTTCATAATTTTGGTTACCTATGGCCAACTAAAACTCAAACATATTAATCTATGTCTTGACTCTAAAGAGACTACATTTATATGCCTTTATATGCCTACTGTATTTTTATAATACCCTAGTTGGCATGTAGCTATGGTTGTTAATCTTTTACTTTGCCTAATGTATAAACTTTATTATAGGTATATATGTATAGTACTATCTGCAGTTAAAGGACTCCACAGGGTGTCCTACATACAACATATCCCGTGGATAAAGGGAAACTATCACATCAGCAAATAACCTCCCAATTACTTTCAATATCCCAAAACCTTGGTAATAAAAATAAGGTGTCCTGGGTTGAGTAGTCTTTTAAAGAAATGCCTGAGAACTATGCAAAGGAATTTCAAAAAGAAAAAATGCCTTGGCCTCATGCCCTAAGGGTTTGAACTCAATAGGTCTGAGATAGGTTCTTGGAACCTATTTTAAAATCCTCTCCCAGGTGACCTAAGCACCTGCATCTGGAAACTGCTGCCTAGATGAACATTTTTCAACCTTAAATGCACTTTAAAATAGCATGGGAGCAGGCAGTAAAATAAATACACAGTGATACTCAAGGCCAGTAGATCTCTACCTTGCCTGCCAAATCAAAGTGCCTGGCGTTCTTCTAAAACATCCAGGCTTACAGGGCTGGGGAGATGGCTCAGTAGAATAAGTGCTTGACTGGCAAAAGCAAGTGTCTGAGTTCAATCCCCAGTTCTGCCAAAAAAACCCCAAACAAAACAAAACACCTCCAGGCTCAACCCAAATCAGTCAAATAAGAATTGCTGGGAGTTAGACCTAGACAGTACTTTTTTCAGACAGTCTCCAGGTGTTTGTTGTAAAGACATCTTTATTGTAAACACTGGCATTATAGAATGTGTAAAGTAATACTGATGTGAGACTCCTAGCAATTTTCAGCACATGGTGGCTTATAAAGCAATCTAATTTGCCTAGTTTGAGACAGTCCTCATGTCTGATTCTGGCTATCATGACAGAAGAAGTTGCTTGACCTTTGTAGATTTAAGTCCTTGCCTAGGGACTGTTTTCTTAAGAAGGACACATTGCTAGGATATGAACAAGATAGGGGCCTAACCCAACTGATTTTGCTGCCAAACATTTAAGAGGCAAATAAATCATTTCTACATGAGCTTTTCCAGGAAACAAAAGCAAAAAGCACTTCACAAATCATCTCATGAGGTCACTATTTTCCTGATGCAAAACCACACAAAGAAACAAGAAAATAACAGACTAATATCTCTCAGGAACATAAACAAAAAATTCACAAAATATTATCAAGTAATATATAAAAAGGAAAACATATCCTGACTAATAGGATCTAAGCAGAAAATGATATATTTGAAAATTCCTCAACATTTGAAAAATCACTTAATTTAATACACTGCATTAACAGACTAAAGAGAAAAATATCACATGGTCCATCAAAGAAGATAAAATTTGTTAACAAAATTCAATGTCTATTCATGATGAAAAAAAGCTTAAGAAACTAAAAAGCTGATAAAGGCATCTGTTTAAAACAATACAGTTGATGACATTTTATGGTGAAATGGCCGTTTTCCCACCTAGGCTAGAAATAAGGAGAGAAAACCAAGCCAGCACCAAACTAGAACTCCTATCTTAGTTATAAAACAAGAGCACAGAAGAGAAGGAAATAAATGCAAATGGGGAAGGAAACGATAAAGCTGCATAATCCATATATACAGATAAAAAACTCTAGGGAACCCTCTGTTAATTTACAGTGCAAGAGGAAAAACCTGGACACCAAGACTAAGAAAGACAAGATTTGGTTTCCTCTAGGTACAGGCTGGCTGAAATCAGAGCAACATCAGTGAGTATCTGGAGGGGAGGCTACGTGTATATATAAGATTCGGGGCTGTAGTCCCAAGGAATCTGGGTGGGATGTGTGAGGTCAGAGCTGCAAGGACGGACTGGCTCAGGTGTTCACAGAAAGCTGGCTCTTCTGGTGTCAGGGAGGCAGCAGTTCCAGACCTAAATTGCTTAATGGCCATCAGTTCTGTTTGTAGAGTGCACCATGTTTATTGTAAAGGTCTTTCTCAGGTCAGGACTGACGCCTTCATTTTTTAAAAAAGAAACTACTAGACCTAATAAGTGGATTCAGAAAGGTCATAGAATACAAATCCAAATACAGAAATCTTCTGTATTTTAATATACTAACAATAAATGACTAAAAAGTAACAGTAGCACCAAAAACAAAACACAAAGTAAAATATATATAACAAAATATGTGTAGTACCTGTACATACTAGTGTACACTGAAAACAAAAAATACAGAAAAATTAAAGATCTAAAGAAACAGACATAACATCTTCACGAATAAGAAGGCTCAACACTGTTAAGATATCTAAGTTAATATAAAACTTCTAGAAGAAAACATAATAGAAAGTCTTTGATATCTTGGGCTAGGAAAAAATTTTAAAGAGAATCCCAATAGCACAAAACATACATATAAAAAGAGATTAATTAATTTCACTGCAATTTAAAATTCTGGTATTTGAAACACACCATTAAGAAAATGAAAAGGTAAGCTAAGACTCCAGAAATATTTGCAGTACGTTTATGTGCTAAACACTACTTCTATTCAGAATATACAGACAAGTTTTACACCTTAGACAAACTAATTTAAAGCAGGAGTGTGTGTGTGTTGGGGGGTGCTTGATACAAGTTACTAAAAAGACACAGTAATTCCCAGCATTCAGGAGGCCGAGGCTGGAGGATCCCTATGAGCTCGAGGCCACTCTGGGCTTCAGTTAAGCTGAAGACCAGGCTGAATTACACAGTGAGATCCTGTCTCAAAAAGACAAAAATAAGTAATAAAAAGATAAGTAATATTCAAATATTAGTCACAAAGGAAATGCAAATTAAAACTAATGAGACTCCTTCACACACTCACCACAATGTCTAAAGAATGACAGCAGCAGGCACTGGTAACAATGTCAAGCACATGGGACACTCCTACACTTACTATCACTCAGCAAATCCACTCCTAGGTTATGTGCCTGAGACAGATGAAAACATTCGTACTGAGGCTTGTAAGCAAATGGTCACAGGAGCCAAAAACTAGAAGTCACCCAAATATCCTTCAGGAGATGAAATGATAAACTAAACGTGGTAGACAGCTATCATAGAATACTACTAATAAAAAAGGATGACTACTGATGTATTCAACACATTTTTATAACATCATACAAAGCAAAAGAAACAAGACAAAAATATAGACTGCATGGTTCTATTTATATGAAATTCTCAAGGCAAAATAAAATGGTATGTGTCAGAAGGCAGGTAACAGGTTGATTACAGGGAGTTATTGATAAATTAAACAGCAATCACAGTTTTTTGTTTTGATACTGGGAATCAAACTCAGGACCTCACACTTACCAGGTAAACACTGTGCTACTGAGTTATATCCCTGGTCTCTAGCACTGTGGTTTTGTTAAGTGTTACAAACTGAAATATTTACACATAGAAATGTCTAAAATTTTGTTTAAAATAATTGTGAGAGGGAAAGCATATGAAAAATGTAAGTAAGACTGGCCATGAATATATTATTGAAGCCAGCTGATAAAAGACCTGAGATTTTTCTAACTACCATTGGGTATTTGAAAATTTCCCAATTAAAAAGCCAAATGCACACATTTCGTATGCCTTTTCAGTTTCCTCTGTCATCTCTAAACTTAAGTGCCTTTGAAGCTATGATATGGAAGAAAGCAAGACCTGAACACCTGCCTGATTTCCCCCTCTACATTCTCACTTGCCATGTGATCTGCAGAACATTAGGACAGTTAAGGTCAGTAGCTGTCCTTGTAGACAATGGAGTATTTCTATGACTATACCTGAAATATCTCAATTTAGTATTCTGTGAAATAACAATAATGCTAAAAAGGAAATTTAGTACTTTCAAAACAATGTAATACTTTTAAAATTGGTCTACTTGTTCATTACAATGATTAAATTTAGAGCACACAAAAGGTATTGATAAAAATAGACTATAAAACATTAAATGTGAATCCGTAAGTCCCTCAGATATTTTAGACAGAGGTAGAAAAATGGGGGGGGGGAGATATTTGCTTTATAAAAACTTGTTAGCCAATTGTGGGGAGCCAAGATTGTTGCAAAGCCCAGGGCCTCTGGGGATGTCTAAGGACATGACCCCACTGTCTGATACATACAGTATGATACATTTATGTAAGCATGATTTAACAAATAGCTGTGCATGCACTAGACAGTTCCCACAGAACAGAGAATGCAAGCCTGATAACAGCTACTCTATCTTGAGTCGAACAATAAAAATGCTATTTGTTGCCGCTATCTGTGCTGTGTTTTCTTTGGGGACCTCACCTACAACAATACCTCTTCAGCCCCCTAACCCCAATACTAATACAAAATAGAAGAAATAATGAAATATGATTTTGCAGAACTCTCTCGACCCTAAGACCCTAAGTGATTCAGGCTAATTTTTCAGGGATACTAAAAACATTTCAGTGAAAGTTCTAGGGGAACAGGATATACCTGAAATCTCAATATTTCTCCTTGGATTACTGGTTACAGAAGGAAAACTATTTTTATAGTGGAGCATTCTGGAAATCATCACTTGTTAACCAAGTGATCAAACTTAGCAGCACCACTGAGGGACAGCTAGCTTTGCATGACTCCTGCTGAGGCACAGTAAGTGTCTATTGACAAATTTGTGGACATCTTGACAAAAACGTTTATCCTCAATGTACTCAGGAGGAAATAAGACAGCATGTTAGCAACTGGTGAATCTACATAGAAGTCATGTGGATATATTTCATATTATATTTTCCAGATTTTCTCTTAAGTTTCAAATTTTTAAAATAAAAAGCTGGTAAAAAATTAAGTTTTAGTAAAAATCTAGTACTGAAAACAAATTAAAAAGGGTGATTTTAATTTTTCGGTTAAAATCAATTCATCTCACTAAAAATAAGTATAGACAGTTAACACAAAATTCCTCCTATCTTCTCCTACTGGCAAAGCCTTATCCTCTATGTGACCTCTATCTTGTCATAGCAATGAACAACACAGCTTTTCTTCCTACACCCATTAGGTCATGACGCTAAAAAGAACAAAGTACAGCTGACAGATCACTTCTACTAGTTCCAGAAATAAATTCAAAACCTGAAAGCAAACACTAAACTTTTAAAAGTTGACTTTTCACCTTTAAAAGAAAAATTTTTAGTCTCATAAATTGTTTAGAGGAAAAAAAGAAACCAATGAAATTCTTTTTTTGTGTGTGTATTTTAGGGAAGGGTTCTACAGGGTGTTTAGGATCTTACTACTAGGTCAGACTCGTAGTGATCTGCCTGTTTACTGCCTCCTAAGAGCGGGATTACAGGCTGCCCAGTCTCAGTTGCCATCTCAGCGCGCCCTGGGGGCAGGGCCGGCATAGGAGGCTCAGGATCAAACCCCTGACCCCTGTGCCTACTTGCAGGCACTTCAATCCACTGAGCTATTTGGCCAGCCCCTCAGTGAAATTCTAATAAACATTTTGTCCTTTCTCTAACATTTAAGGATCTATAATAAAATAAAATTTAAAGTATAGGTACTTAATGAAGCATTTATTAAATATGAAGGAACTTAAAGTCTGAAATCAAGAAGTTCAATATAGTATCAGCATTGTTGGTTTAATTAAAAGTCAAAATTTAATATATATTTTGTATATTTGAAAAATACATACTTAACCAATTGTACATTCCAGTGAGTTTATGTACCACATAATCACTTACGTTTTCATCAGATTGTCTTTTACGTTTTTGGTTTTTTTTTTAGCCAGGATCTTGCTATGTAGTCCAGGCTGGCCTTGAACTCACTATGTACCCTAGGCTGGCCTCAAACTTGTGGTGATCCTCTTGCCTCAGCCTCCCAAGATCTGGGATTACAGGCATGTTCCACCACACTAGACTGTCCTTTGCATTCTTGAACATCTGCACTCAAAGAGATAACAAAATGTAAAAGAGCAAGGGGCTAACCTTCTAAAAAGAGATAGTACCCACAGCAAAGAGTGAAAATAATGAAAAATATAAACCTGTTATTTATATAACTCATGTACAGGGGAAAGAGTAAAGTGACCATTCCATGGAATGCCAATTTATTACATGTCAAACCCCTAATACTTTTAGATGACAAAACCCACAAACTTCTGCTTTCATACATATTAAAAAACTGAATATGGTATTAGGTTGCATCCCCTTTGGACATGTTGTCTAGTAATCATTTAACATTAATAAATTCTAATCAAGTACTGTGATAAGTTTGGAACTTCTAACCTGTTTCTAGGAAAGGGAGACAGACTGGACATCGAATCAATAATTAATCACTATATGAAGAGGCTTCTATAAAAATCCATGGAAGACGGATTTCAGAACTTCAAGTTAGCTCTTCCCCAAATACCTTCCCTATGTCTCTCTTCCATGTAGCTATCCAGCTATCTTGTGAAATGCCCTTTGTAATGAACAGGCAAATATATTCTTAATTCTATGAGCTATCCTGAGGCCAGGCAAGGGAGCTGTTTGTATCCCAATTTAGAGCAAATTCATCAGAAGCACACATCATCACCTGGAACCTGTACCTGAAGCAGGGAGTTTTGGAGAACAGAATTCTTAACCTGTAGAATCTGAATGCTAGCCAGATAAACAGGGGCAGAAAGGAACTAAATCATATGGCACTCTGATTTTTCTATAGAGAAAACCCAGTCATCTGGTGTCAGTACTGAGAGTGCGTGCGACTGAAGCAGAAGCCGGTCAGTTTCCTAATAGGTCAGGCACCAACCTGGCGAGGATTCTAAACACAGACTGCTACTTCAGAACAGTAGTGGCAAGGAAAATACTAATTCTCCATTAAAAATCATAGCATCTAAAAGGAAAAATGCCCAACTGAAGACCTTGGAGCTAAGTAAGAGGAATCTGCAACTAACCTGAAGGAACCCAAATAATTTCCCAGCCAACACTGTGGACTGCTGGCTGAGAAACACTAGTAAAGCACTGCAGGACACTAGAAGAGTCAATGACACTAATGGAAGTTCCTAATAGAAATGCAAAGCAAGCTAAAAGGGAGAGAAATTATGCAAATCAAACATTCTCAACTCTGGAGAACTTTCCAAAAATATACTTCCTAAAATCCAGGACTAATCCTATTGCAATTTCTGAGCTTAAGATCTCGACACTAAAATTTTCTCAAGATTCCCAGAAGATTTTGACAGGCATCCAAGGATGAGGCTTACTGGTGTAAAAATACACGGTAAAAGAAAAGCAAAGAAACAAAAAATCACCAGAAAGTTAAGTATTACTCAAGACTACCAATTTGTAATTTTAAATTGTCTGACTTTCTATTTAAACTATACTTGTTAATTTCACAGTACCCCCTACTGCTCAGGAAAGGCATCTATTATTCCCAGAAGCAAGGCACAGAAATCTATAACTTGTTTGAAGTAAAGTAAATCTAAAAACAACCCATGAGTAAGTTTTTGTTGTTTTTTTTCTCATTTAAATATAAAATGGGTTGGCAAATACTGTGTGGGCAAAGTCAATGTTAGGCTTAACCACAACAGTCCAAGTAGAAGAGATTTTCTTTTTAAATTCCAAGATTCGACCAACTTGGCCTTCCTGACATTTTGTACTAAATAATTCTTTACTGCAGGAGTTGCTGTAGATGTAGAGCTACAATAATCATCATTAATATTTTTATGATGTAAAGGTTAATGTTTTAATACAAATTAGGAGTTTTAAAAGTCATTTTCTTTTAGTGTTTTCATTTTATTGTTACGTGATAATACATCAATGTCTGTACACAGTTGGATATTCGGCTGTATTCCTTGCTTCTACCCACTAGATGACAGCAGCAGCCCACCTCTAAAGCTGTGACACTCAAAATGTCTCTGACCGTTGTCAAATGTTGCCAATCAATAGCTTACTTAATAAAAACCTGCTGCAAAAATTAAAATCAAAATATACTCTAGAAAAAGTGAAAAGATGACCTATTCATTAATGTTCTAAAAAATCTTAAATTTTTATGTATCAGTTTCCTAAAGAATACAAGGTAATCATGGTAAGCATTCATTTAAATAATTATGGAATTTGTTTATAGATACATAGTATGCATGTGAATATTTGGTAATTTTTAAAAATATTTATCTTGTGACACACAAAGAATAAGGAAAACTGAGTTTAACAGTATTATCTGGGAATAAATTAAGTACATAGGAAGTCTATGAAGTACAACCATTAAATCTGTATCTGCTGATTTTTTTTCACTTTAAAGACCAAAATCAAAACTTTTCAACATCAAAGAACCAAAGTAGAGCTATAGTTGTATATAATAGCATCGTTAACAGCAACTACTACTCCAATCAGCTATACCAATACACAACAAACATTTACTATACTCAATTTAAATGCTGCCACTAAAATCAATTACACCTCAGTTTATAAACTTAATTTGTTTAATGATTTTGGGGATACCTGATTCAGTTTGTGAACAGAAGCAAAATTTACTGAACACCTTTGTTCGCAAATCAAATGGCTTACAAACAGAAACATTCAGGAACTGAGATGTTCCTTATACATGTTTATTTTGAATGATGCTACCATGAAGTGTGTAGGCTCAAATGCTGGTAATATTCATTTGAAATTAAGCTGATGCAAAACCTACATGGTAGGTTGAACTTGAACCTGTGGACAATTCTAATACTCACTAGAAACACTTTGAAAGATAGGAAAGCCCACTGTTTTACACAAATTAGAAGCTTTAAATCATCTCCCATTAGTGTTTTCAATTTCCACAAAGCCATAAACCAAAGATTCAAATAATTTCAAATCATCACTGATACTATTAGGCAAAGAATCTCAGATGCCACCACTTTTAATGTCGTATACATCAAATTATAGCAAAAGACAACTACAATACGATGCCCTCTCTTGTTCATGAACAGCACACACATATATCACAGTAAACCAAGCTTATATTCCACCATCAAGTGTGGTTCCCCCATGAGCTCGCTTTGGGATGGATCTGAAAGCAAACAAACAAATATTTTAGAAGATTTTCAAGAAAAAAAAAATTAAACAATTTCATTTACAAGGAAATCAACAACAGTCAAAACTAATCCAAAGTGACAGAAAACAGACTGGTTGCCTCAGGCTATAGTTGGGAGTCTCAATGCACAGGAGTCAACGAAAGCCTTCTCAATGATCAAGAGGACCTAGCTTCATGCATTCATTAAAATCCATTGAACTATACACCTAAAAATGGGTGCAACAGATGGCTTGTCAACCGTATCTTATAGTTATTTTAAAAGAAAAAGATTGAAAAATTCTGTTTCAGGCTGGGGAGATGGCTCAATAGAATAAGCGCTTCCCTGGCAAGCACAAGGGCCTGAGTTCAATCCCTGGTTCCACTAAATAAATAAATAAATAAATAAATAAATAAATAATTCTGTTTCAAGATTCTGAAGTTTTCCATTGGCCTCTCAGATGACTCTGGGAGCAACCTCAATCTAAATAGTAAAAATGTATTGTCTGTGTAGTTGTCCATTCTGTTGCATACACAATAACATAAAGCTGAACTCGAAAGCGAGAAACCTTAAAGATTTTCACTCCCTCATGTTTACAGATGAATCAGATAAAAGTCTTACTTTAACTGTAATAACACATCTAAGTTTTCAAAGTTACTATTACATCCCTGGTAAGTGCAAGGGCCTGAGTTAAAAAAAAAAAAAAAAAAAAATTGCTATTACATAAAGCTCCCTGACAAAGTCTTTGTCTTCTACCAAGCAGTGGTTTAGAAACAGAGTAAGAGCAAACGAATTTGTAAAAATGAATCTACAGTGGTCCCTCACTTATCATGGAGGTTACGTTTCAGACACCCTGGGGTTAAGTGAGAATCAGTAAAGTAGCGATGTTGTATTTTAGTATGTATATCTGAAGGCTTTATAAACCTTTCCCACACTCGTGTAAACCTTTCCTACACTTTTAAAAACACTTTTAATGTTCTCAACCATTTTCAAAACTCGCAAACCTACATAATTTTAACATATGTATACTGTATAATACAGTATATACTCATCCACTAATGAAATACTTACTGTAAACAGTGTATTTTATTTTGATTTTATATTCTTTTAATATGGTAGAATATTTTTAATGTATTTTTACACATTTTAAAATTTTAGGCAAAAATCAATAAAACCATAAATACTACACGTGTAAATAAGTATACAGACCTGTACACTACTGCAAAATCCCACGACATACTAAAAAATTCGTAATAATTGAGATTAATATTTTTTGAAAACCCCTGAAACAGTGGGTCTGCAAAAGTCCAACCACGAAATAGGGGGGACTACTGTACATCACAAAGTAACTACTAAGAGTAACAGTTCAGTATAGCTAGTATATATGCTTCCTCTCTAGATCTTTTAAGAGACTAGAAATTGTCATAACAGTTCAGCAGGTGATATGTTCCACATTTGTCACCTCACAAAGTAGCCTGAACAGCAACTGATAGTGCCATAATTATTAGTAATAAACTGCTGTGTATGTAACAGACATTCAGAATCTAAACTTCAGGAAAAGATGCCCATGTAGGTACAAAGGATATATAGTCATTGCTTTGTTACCAAGAAAAAAATGAGACCCATCAATACATATATATCATATACAAATACGCAGTATGATACTGTGTTAAAAAAAATCCAAACATTGAAACTTTCTTACCGATTTGATTTGAAACTGTCTCACTGCTGTTTATCAATAAAATTATGAAAAAAAAAACCCAAACACAAAGCAATGTCAAATGTTTTCTGACTATACTTTGTACAAAGATAGAAGAATGGGGTACTCATGAGAAATCCAAGTTTTACTGGTAAAATTAGATTTTTGGGCAGAGACTACTTATTTAACTATAACTTTTAAACTCTTTTAATGTTCTACTTTCTTTATAAAGAATGTGCTACCAAATGCACCAATAAAGCACAACACTTAGTCATCAGTCTGCCCCAAGTTCACTGTGACACTGAGGGTGGGCCAAGTCCCTTCATGAACGGCACTTTACTTATCTCAAAGTAACAAGACTGGTTTGAATGAAAGGTACCTTCCAGCACGAAGAAAGTCTGGTTTTGACTATCCTAGTGCCCTCTTCACCAAATGTGCTGAATTTTCTTGGCCAAGCACATCACTGAAGAGCAAGCAAACACTATCATCCTTGATGATTTATACAGTGCTCAGACACAAAGGGAAAACCACTCAAGTGTAGTGCAACAGTTCCAAAAGTCATCTACCCAAGTGCCATCTTTCCAGCTAAGATCTATCTTACTGAAATCCAGGGAATGAATAATAAAAGATATTCAGAAGGTAGTTGCTGGTTTTTTAAACGTGAAATTGTATCACATCACATTTCTGCTTAAAACCACTCAGTGGCAAGACTGGGCATGGTGGCGCATGCCTGTAATCACATTTAGTATAAAAATGTATTACCTTCACCTTTCCCCATCAGCCCGCACCCTCATCCTCATAAACTGCCCTCTATCTGGATGCAGAAACATATACAGGCTGGGGGCACAAATTAGTTTCACCTATAGGAATCAAGGCTGTTTCTAAAGCGAGCAGCCTCAGTAGACAGGAACACAGGACAGGCAAATTTACTGCCCTTCATAAAATTTAGGTCCCCTGAACATGGAACTCTTCTCCTGAAACAAAATAACACCATGTATCTACATAGCACCTGACCCTCCTCTTGTGGTGTCTTAAAAGAAAAGTGGCTCACAGAACCAAGGGAAATGGGGATACTCTGGTTACGAAGATCAGTGCGAGTTGGGAAAAAGTCTTTTAGTCTCCAGGGATCTTCTGTCTTCTACCAGCATCCATGAAGCCACATGGGCTAACTTGTTATTTGTAAGTAAATTTCCTAATCTTCACAGTTCTTTAGCCCTTAGTTCACAGACAAATAATGATGAAACAAGTATTCCTTCTACTTTCACCTAAACTAATTCACATACATTTCAGGGATCAATTCATGTATGTGTCATATTCCCAGTTACCTACCATTCCTACCTCAACATCTTTTTATTCCCCAAAATTACAATTTATTTTTTTTTTATTTAACATTTGCCTCTACCACTAGAAAGCAGATGTTTATTTTCCTTACCACTGTATATTTATAGCCTAATCCCATGCTTAACATAATATTGAATATATGCTCAAAAGCTCTCTTTACCCCAAATTTCAAAGGCAGATCTTGTAATTAAATGCAATTTGTAAAAAAAATGCATTTTTACAACTAAATAAAAGTTAAGAACATACAGGCCTAATTATTGCCTTGTTCCTTTTACATGTGCTTGGGAATCACAAGTTTTCCTGAATTTGAAAAGTTCCCTCTGGAAAGATTCCCAAGGAGGCTCCCTAGACTTCCCTTGTGTCCATATTTCCTTACCAGACACTAGCAGTCAAGCAAAATTAATAAAACTTAATCCTATTGTGCTTTTGTGTTTTTCCTGCACTGCTGGGCTTACTAAGCAGAGGCAGTATTGCCCAGGATTATATTTGTTTATCCTTCTCAGGTCCAGAAATAATAGAGAATGCTGCATGCATTGTTCTTACTTAAAAGTCACTTATCTAAAATGTGATACAACTATTGAGGGGATTTTGTTAAGAATGACAGCTCAAAAATCATGTTAAGAGGACTACTCTTTTTTTTTTTTTTTTTTGCTCCACATGCCTTCAGGGCAGGTTTGGCTGGCTGGAGCTGTGGGGATCAAACCACAGCAACCTGAACCTGACTGCTTTGTTGAAGCAGCCACTTAAAGAACTGAGCTAAGGGGCAGGCCCCCAAGAGGACTACTCTTTAAAGAACACTTTAATCTTATTGTTTCCAGTCATTTAAAATACTTGTCCCACAAATGCTGTAAAGAACAAAAGTTATTTTGTAAGCCTTTCAGGAGTGGTGACCTGATGCTCAGGATAATGGACTAAAGGACTACTTAAAACTTGAACAAAAGGTTTATAATATCAGATTTATTCATAAATAATCTTCAGTTTTAAAAACAGTTCAAACACAATTCTTACCATTAAGTTTTATTGTACTACTGTGAATAAAGATCAAATGAGTTCAATTGGCTGTATGTTCCACAAGGACAAGGACTCCGTTTTGCTTACTCACGTCACCTTGTACATCAAAGGGCTTGGTAAAAAGGTGCTGAGGGACACTTACCATTGAGAATATCTTCAAATCCAATAGTCTCATCATTACCCCTCAAAATATCCAATGAAAGGTTAGAGCTAGAAAGAAATGGAAGACGCTGAACCTGTAAGAAAAAAGGGCAAGAAAAGAAAAAATCAAAATGGAGGGGTTCAAGTAATAAGGCTTGAAATCAATGTGTGTATGTTATCAACTTGCCAAGATGAAGGTAACTGCTATATATCACAAATACTAGTTTAAACAAAAGCCAAAATAATCTAATTTCATGCTCTTCACTCTTGAAAATTTCACAAAAATGAGTACAATGGCAATTTAGGGCTTAGGGAGTGTGGGTGATATCAATTCTTATTTTAGATAGAAATGAAGTTTCAAGACATGTTCAAAATGTTCAAAATGTTGTTTTATACTGCTCGTAGTACAAACGTAAGGCATGATCTCTTCAAACAGTAGTGGTAAACAGATATGCACATCAAGGTCACTTGGGAAGCCTTTAAAAACACCAGTAATGCCATTCTAAAATTAATGTCAGACCTATTTTCTTCAAATATTAAATAAATACACCATAAACTGGGACCTAAGTATTCAGCAGAGTGGACAGGTTATGAAGACACTCATCTGGACTCAGACTTAACAATCACATGGCTTATGTACAAACCTGACCTATCCCTGCCTCATTTTGTTCATCTGTGAAATCTGGATACCACCTTTCAAAGTGTTATGATATGGTGTAAAGTATGTATATAGTATAATCATTGGCACATAGTGGGTATTCAACAAGTTTTAACGCAGCCAAACCAAAATTTCAGTCTTTCTGTGGTGATTTTTCAGTAGTTACAACTGAAGTCAATGAAGATAAGTCTGGGTATTGCCAGAGTAGCAAGAGTCATAGTAGTCAGTAAATGACAATAGGACTTTAAAAAATAATACTATTAAGAATTTAAAACAGTAAGATTCTACTTTTCCTGCTGCCAAAATGTATTCAGCCTGTAACATTATAGCCACTTTTTAAATTTTGTTCTGTACTTTTTGAGAGTGTCACTATGTGCAGGTCATACAAGCTGGCTTCAAACTTGCAGTGTCTCTCCAGCCTCAGTATCCTGAGTGCTAGGATTATAGGTGTACATGACCATGCCCACAAAGTTACAATATTTAAATCTTTAGTGTGAAAAAACTTTCTCTTGACTGTCAAACAAAAAAATAAAAAAGGAAGTAGATAGAAGAAACACAAACCGAAGCCTATAAATTAAACCAGACAGTAATAGGTAGGCAGTTGTTAAATAGCTTGACAAAAAGAATTGCAAAAATAAAGGCATGAGGAAAAAAAGGCTCAAAATGTTGGGCAACAATTTTGGATTAAGTGGTATACAAATGTAGATCTAAAATATAAACAACGTATAGTTGACTCCAAACAGACAAGATGACAAAAAGAGAAACTAACAATTATAAGATAAATATGTATCACTTAATCTTTAGAATAATCCTACAGTGCCCTTACCACTCTCCATTTCACACTAAAAACACATAAATAAAAATATCCCAGAGGTTCAGAAACATTTTTAACTACTTAAGTTTTTAGGGCCAGATGATAGAGGCAAGATTCTAACTCAAGTCATTCTCAGTTGAAGCTATGTTCTTTTTAGAGATTTACTCACAGAAAAAGTACTCCAAGTGGCTTCCAGAATGACTAGCCTGTACAATTGTAGCACTATATATTTAATGAAAAAGATGTAATCTTACATAGGTCAGAGAAACAAACCCATATAAGCATGGGCAAAACCAAAAGGTAAAACAACATAATTAACTGGAAAACTGCACGTAGTTTAGAAGTGCATGGAAAGAAGCTGATTTACAGCCACATTAAGGAGCAGGGTTTTATCTTGAGGGCAAAGCCAGGGAACAGTAAGCTCAAGGCTAGCCTGAACTGCATAGCGAAACCCTGTCTCAAAAAAAAAAAAGACAATAAGTAAATCTGTGGTTAAATAAATAAATCTGTGGTTTAAAATGGTTATTCTGGTTGGAATATGAATAGTAGGATGAAAGGCCAGCTGTGGCGAGTATTGCAGTAATCTGATTGGAGCACAGTAGGGTGAAAAAATGGTGAGAAAATCAAGCAGTGGACCAGTGAGTTTGGTGGGGTGAGGAAGGAATAAGGGATGAGATAAAAAATAAGCAAATAAGGTTAAGGCTCCAATTTCTACCTTGAGCAGGAACTTACTCAAACATGAAAAAGAATGAATGAAAAATAATGAATTCTTGTGTATTTGTACATGAGAAATTTGAAGTACTGGTCAAATTTCCAACTGCAAAAGCATGTGATGTGATTAAAGACCATGAGAATTATAAATTCAGAGTCATCAACATATAAATGATAACTGAAGTTAACAGAAGTAGGTAGGAAACAGGGTGAGGCAAGAAGCTAAATTTAGTATCAACATAACTGGTATGTCAGGGAACAGACAAAAACAAAAGGAATCTATAAAGAGACACCTGACCGCAGGGTTTCAGAGAAGGGGAATCAGGAAAGCATGGTGATCTAAAACAAAATAGGCAAAATGAAGGAGCCTGAAGTGTCAAATACCACAGAAAGTCCAGGTTAAATGAAGGCAAAGAAATGCCTACATTGATTAGGAACAGATTTATTGGTTTGATGGAAGCAAGAAAAAGTGGGCTGGATTAACAGAAGGCAGAGGAAGGAGTACAGAGAGGAAATACAGGCAACGTTTTCAAGAAGCTCAATTTGAGCCAGGTGTGGTGGCATATACTTGTAAATCTCAATGTTTGGGAGGCTGAGGCAGGAGGAGCCAATTCAGGGCCAGCCTGGGCAATTTAACAAGATCCTGTCTCAAAAAAAAAAAAAAAAAAAAAAAAAATACCAAACCAAATTAAACCAAATAACAAAATACAAAACAGAACAAAACAAACCCACCGTCACCAAACTTGCAAGACAGAAGCACCTTTACTGTGGTAGAATTTGCTAGAGATCTGGATGTGAGAATGTGAATGTGGCTGATGAGACAGAGCAAAGAGAAAAATTAAAGGTGTCAGCCATGGATAGGATTACTGATAAGCAGAATTCTTAAGATTCCAAAGCATAGGTAAAGCACATTTAGCACTTTGAAGGACATCTTCCAGAACTGATTACTTACTCCTCTGCAATAGGTACACTAAGCTATATACAAATTGCATCTCAAAACTGTTAGCTATTTGTTATGGTTTCTGTCTAGATGTCTCCCCAAGGCCTAACGTAGTCATGAGCCAGGCTTCTAGAGTTTGTGACTGATTCATGGTCCATGTTGGGATTATGGGTGTGAGTACTATACCTATGGGGCAGGTGGCCTGCATGAAATGTAAGGGACAGAAAGAGGCTTACTCCCTCTTTGCTCTTGTTGCTTTTGCTGTCTTCTATCACCATGAACTGCTGCCCTCTGCCACGTGCCACCCTGTCTGGGAGTGAGCTGATTATGGACTGAAACCTCCACAATCTGTGAGCTAAATAAACCTTTTCTTTTCTTAATTTTGGGCACTGGGCATTTTGTCTCAGCAATAACAATATTCCTACAGGGATCTCAAGTTCAACAAAACTAAAAAAAATCAAGAAAGCAGATGCAGGCCAAATCTTTAGATATAGTATAAAATTTGAAGTTTTCCATTTAATGATTTTTCTCCTCTTTGAAGAAGGAATCAAAGTCATATCCTAAAGAGTAGAAAGTAAAACTGACTAAAGATATAAAAAAAGTAAGGTTAGTAAGCTGTTAGGTAAGACTGATACTTATTCATGTGGGACACATCAGCAATATATGCCTAAACTCACCTGCTGTACTGCTTTGAATTCCATTTGTAATTTAAGAGGAGCAAACAGACCTTGGATGTTTCTCAGTGTGGAAAAATTCATTTTATCTTGGTTGAGCTGGAACTACAAAAGAATGAATTGATACATACATAACCCAGTATTTAGAAGAATGTAATATCATCCATAACTGAAATAAAAACAAAGCATTTTGATTAGTTTCTGAAGATAAATTTTAGAACATTTATGTCTATATTTTATCCAGCTTGCAGACATAGCTCACCAGTGTAAATTACCTAAAACTTGAATATAAAACTAGTAAACTAAGAAATGCTTTTCACAATACAGAGATACTTAATAAGGCATAAGCATATTCCATGCTTTTGATTAGAAGTACTAGAAAACTAGTTAGAGCAAAGAAAAGGTGCAGATACTCTGAGATCAGGAAACCTCACATGCACAAAAATTGTGAACTTTTGAGTATGAAAATATTTCAAAAGATTTCGTTAAGAAATACAATAATAAAATCATCATAATGTTAATTAAACTTCAATATTTAAGCCGACTCATGTTAATTCAGGGAGAGAAAAATCTTCCTGGAAAAGTCTATTCATTTTGTATTTGGTTAGGCAAGCACAGGGACTGGGGTTTGATCACTGGCACCATGTACCATCCCGGCTCCAACCACCAGTGCACTGAGCCCACCACCAAGACTGGGCATGGTGGTGCATGACTGTAATCCCAGTACTGGGAAGGCTGAAAACCAGAGGATTATTATGAGTCCAGCTGCATAGTGAGAACCTGCACCAAATACATTTTTTAAAAAAATCTTACTTGGTACTAATGAGTAATATTTTCAGAATCACAATTTTATTAAAACAAAAGTTTTCTCAAAATAACTCTTAGGGATGACAATATGATACAAACAGAATTACATGAAGATTTGAGTCAAGGTAACCATAAAGAAGAAAATGACTTCTTGCAATTATTTTTTTGTATACCATAGTGCACTATATTCTGTTAATAAGATTCTTCTCTAACAGTCATCCAAAAAATTATTTTCACTGAAAACCTACTGAAAGATTAGGGACTACCTGGGACCTAACTGGGTCACATGCATATGTTTTATGATTATTCTCAATCTCTATAAAACATAGCCTTAAGTATTTATGACACACCTAAGATGAAGGTAGAGGTCAAGATTCCTACCAAAATATCCTGTATGAATTGCTAACTGTCTAGTCGTTGCTGTCTGGTACAGATATCAGCTAAAAACATTTCTTTCTATTTTACAATCCACCATCTTATCCTCAAGCATATACCTTGTTAGATAATCTGATTCCTTCAATGACCCATCTGGAAAATGAATAAGAGTAAATGAAGATTAAGTTGTTATGGCTTAGTGGGTTGCTGGTGGTCACTGCTTACTTTACTAAATGCTCAGTTATCTATTTAATAGTTCAATTAAGGCACGTGCAAACATTATATTGTCTCACTAGTGTGAGAACCTGGAGAGAAAATAAAATCTGAAAGCCACAATAGATACTGTGAAAAGGAAAGAACCTGTTCAATGAGAAGGAAAAGCTGATGAGGAAAAGGACAAAAGAAAGAAGGGGAAAAGATACGTTTAGGTCTATATGCAGGATAGTTTGGATAACTGTACAGATGATGTCTGCTGGTCTATTGAAAGGAACAGTTAATTTATCTACAATCTAAAGATAATTTTTATGTTTCCCATTATTTCTCAAAGGTAATGAGCTTTTAAGCTATTCTGAGTCATTGACTTTTTTGTTTTTTCTCTGTATTTTAGGGAAGAGTCTGTAGGGTGTTCAGGGTCTCACTACTAGATTGGACTCATAGTGATTCTCCTGTTTACAGCCTCCCCAAGAGCTGGGATTACAGGTGCACGCCACCACGACCAGTCTCAATTGCTGTCTCATCTCATCCTGGGGGGCAGGGCTGGGGGTGGCAGCAGGCCTGGGGACTGAACCCCCATTCCCTTCGCCTGCTTGCAGGTGCTTTAATCTGCTGAGCTATTTGGCCAGCCTTGAGTCATTAACTTCTGAGTATAAACTTGAAG